GATTATACAAAGACCTTCTCTCCAATTACCAAATTCTTTTTTGTCTGAGTTTTCAATTTTTCATTCTACTAATCTTAACTAGCCTTTATTTCAATTAGATGTTAAGAATGCTTTCCTCCATGATGATTTGACAAAGAGATTTATATGGAGCAGAATACTTTCCTCCATGATAATTTGAAAAAGAGATTTATATGGAGCAACCACCTATGGTTGCTCAGTAGGAGTATCAGGGAAGTGTATGTAGATTGAATAAACACTTGTATGGGCTTAAACAGTCCCCACGAGTGTGATTTGGAAATTTTCAAAGGCAGTGTTAGACTTTGGTCTTTATAGATGCCAAACTGATCATTCACTATATCATTTATGTGTTAGTGTAGGTAATATCTTTCTTGTTGTTTATGTTAATGAAATTGTGATTACTGGTGATGACTCGGTGAGTATTGCCAAGTTAAAACAGTTTTTGCACTTTTGGTTTCATGCTAAAGATCTAAGCAAACTTAGATACTTCTTTTGTATCGAAGTTGCTAGATCTAAACAAGGTATTAACCTGTCTCAGAGAACATATGTTCATCATCTTTTGGAGGAAACATGGANCAGCATGCCATTTCATTAATCAGATGCCTTCTAATGTCATATATGGGACATCTCCCCATTCTTATTTGTTTCTAAACTCTCCATTGTTCTCTCTTCCCCTAAGGTGTTTGGTTGTCTCTTGCATGTCCATAATCTCGAGCTCGGGTTTGATAAACTTGATTCCCATGCTACTAAGTGCATCTTCCTTGGTTATTCCCACAAAAAAGTTATAGTTATTACACTCATGTTCTTTGAAACTATTTCACTAGTGTTGATGTTACCTTTTGGGAGTTTACACCTTATTTTTCTGCTCCTTCCAATTCTATTTGAGTTGTCTCCCCAATTTGTTCCCAATCTTGCTCTGGTTCCTTACCTATTGTTCCTTTTTATTTTTTTTGGGGAAGAGGAGGGTGAGGAGGAAAGCAGAGTTGAACCCTTGACCTTAAGAAGGCAAAGCCTTCACAAGACAAATAGTACTATTGCTCCTCCATCCTCCTCAGTTCCATTTTCTCATCCTCCAATTTTTCCTAGGTCTTCCGCACCACCCCTTCATGTCTACTCTCACCGATCCTGACCATATACGACTACTCCACAACCGGCTCCTTCGTCATTTTTGGATCTGGCTGTCTTAGATATATCAGAGTCCGTACTTATTGCATTCCATAAAGGTACTTGTTCTTGTGTTACTAATCACCTATTCACTAACTATATTTTTTCCCATTTATTATATCCCTTTCATTTTTATGATTTATCTCTCAAATTATATACTATCTTATTCGAGTTGAAAGAAAGCTATAGAGGACGGGATGGATGCTCTTCATCATAATCATACTTGGGATTTGGGTCCGCTACCCCTAGTAAGTATATTGTTGGATATCGTTGGGTGTAAACCATCAAATTTCATTCGAATGATTCTCTGGATCAGTTAAAAGCTCGTTTGGTTGCAAAAGGGTATGTACAAACATATAGTGTTGACTATATAGAGACCTCTCCGGTTACCACAATCTCTTCTGTCCTTTTGATTTCTCTTGCGGTTAATCTTAATTGACCCTTATTTTAATTAGGACGCCTTCGGCATCTAGGGGTCATGGACCGACCATAGAACCCTGTTCAATAAGTGGAAGGCTGTTAAGAATGGTCTCCTCCATGGTGATTTGGCATAAGAAGTTTATATGGAACAATCACCTTGGTTTGTTGCATAGTAGGAGTATCAAGGAAGTGTATGTAGATTGAAGAAACCCTTGTATGGACTTTAATAGTCCCCACGAGGTTGATTTGAAAAATTTTCAGTGGCAATGTTAGACTTTGGTCTTCATAGATGCCAAACTAATCATTCAAAATGTCATTTATGTGCTAGTGTAGGTAATAGCCTTGTTGTTTATGTGAATGATATTGTGATTACAAATGATGACTTTGTGAGTATTGCCAAGTTGAAATAGTTTTTGTAGTTTTGATTTCATGTTAAAATCTAGGCAAACTCAGATATTTTCCTGCCTTCTACTGTCTTAATGGGACATCTCCCCATTCTATTTTGTTTCCCAACTCTCCATTGCTTTCTCTTCTCCCTAAGATGTTTGGTTGTGTTTTTTATGTCCATAATCTCGATCACGGTTTTGATAAGCTTGATCCCATGCTACTAAGTGCATCTTTCTTGGTTGTTCCCACAAAAAGGTTATCATGTTTATAGTCGTGTCCTTCGAAAGTACTTCACTAGTGCTGATGTTGCCTTTTGGGTGTTTACACCTTATTTTTCCACTCATTTTGATTCTACTCTTGAATTGTCTCCCCAGTTTATTCCCCTTTTTTTGTCTCCGGTTTCCTTACCCATTACTTCTCCATCCTCCTCAATCCCAATTTCTTCTAGGCCTTTCGCACCACCCCATTTGTGTGTACTCTCGCCGGTCTTGAGCACTTGCGACTGCTCCATAACCAGCTCCTTCGTCGTCTTTGGATCCGGCTGTCTCAGATATATCAGAGTCCGTACTTATTACTTTCCGTAAAGGTACTCGTTCTTGAGTTATTAATCACCATATCACTAACTTTGTTTTTTCTCATTTGTTATCTCGTTCATTTTTATGATTTCTCTCTTAGTTATCTACTATCTTATTCGAGTTGAAAGAAAGCTATAGAGGACGAGATGGATGCTCTCCATCACAATCATACTTGGGATATGGGTCTACTACCCCTTAGTAAGTATATTGTTGGATGTCGTTAGGTGTAAACCATCAATTTTCATCCGGATGGTTCTGTGGATTGGTTAAAAGCTCGTTTGGTTGCAAAAAAGGTATACATAGACATATGATGTTGATTATACAAAGACCTTCTCTCCAATTACCAAATTCTTTTTTGTCTGAGTTTTCAATTTTTCATTCTACTAATCTTAACTAGCCTTTATTTCAATTAGATGTTAAGAATGCTTTCCTCCATGATGATTTGACAAAGAGATTTATATGGAGCATAATACTTTCCTCCATGATGATTTGAAAAAGAGATTTATATGGAGCAACCACCTATGGTTGCTCAGTAGGAGTATCAGGGAAGTGTATGTAGATTGAATAAACACTTGTATGGGCTTAAACAGTCCCCACGAGTGTGATTTGGAAATTTTCAAAGGCAGTGTTAGACTTTGGTCTTTATAGATGCCAAACTGATCATTCACTATATCATTTATGTGTTAGTGTAGGTAATATCTTTCTTGTTGTTTATGTTAATGAAATTGTGATTACTGGTGATGACTGTGTGAGTATTGCCAAGTTAAAACAGTTTTTGCACTTTTGGTTTCATGCTAAAGATCTAAGCAAACTTAGATACTTCGTTTGTATCGAAGTTGCTAGATCTAAACAAGGTATTAACCTGTCTCAGAGAACATATGTTCGTCATCTTTTGGAGGAAACATGGCTTTTAGGTGGTTGATCAGTTGATATTCCTATGGTTCCAATCATAAACTTTTAGTGGATGATGAAGAATGTTTCTCAGATCTTGGGCGGTATTGTCTTCTGGTTGGGAAGTTGAATTATCTCATTATTACATGATATATCGTATGCGGTGAATGTAATAAGCCAGTTTATGGAAGCTCCTCGAGTACCACATTGGGATGTTGTTATTCATATCATTCGGTGTCTCAAGCAAATTTTGAGACTTGGATAGTTGTATCAGTCGCATAGACACCTTTGGTGGAAAGGATTGACAGATGCAGGTGGGGCTGGTTCAATCTCAGATAGACGATCTACTACATGATATTGTATGTTCTTAGGAGGTAATCTGGTTACTTAGAAGAGTTAGAAGCAGACAGTGGTAGTATGATCTAGTGTTAAGTTAAGATGGGTACAACTCTTTCTTTAGGAAATTGGGTTTTTTACCTCAAACATTGGTTCAACAGTTCGATGATAATCAAGCTGCAGTTTATGTAGCTTCTAATCTTGTGTTTCATGAACGAACAAAACACATTGAAGCTGATTGTCACTTTGTTCGATAAAAGGTGTTGTATGGAGACATTATCACATCATTCGTCAAGTTCGAGGATCATTTAGTTGATATATTTACTAAATCTTTGAGTGGTACTCGATTGAGGGACATTTGTTCGAAGCAGGGATTATATGATATATATTCACCAGATTGAGGGAGGGTTCAAGAGGATATATGTGTGTGTGTGTGTGTCATTCTTGTAATAAGCATATACTATAAGAGGTATATTTGCCTTTTAGTAATAATTTGATATATATAAATGAGGTGAGAGAGACAGATCAATTGCTCTCTACGCACTCACAACTTCTTCTCTACATTCTCTCCAAAACCCTAATTCTCACTTTGACACTGCCATTGTACATTAAAGTTAATTCCTATTGTTGCATATAAATTGATATATAGAATAGTCAATGCCATCTTTGTAATTTTTTTTCTTCTGTATGCATGAATACAACGCAAAATCCAGAACCAGGTCCCATCCTCTTTCTTTCACAAGCTGTTTGCCAGGAACTCTCTCTCTCTCTTGCACACACGCACCCACACACACACACACACACACACACCCCCTCCGTCACACGGTCACACCTACCCACTGCCACCTGTCCATGGGAACAATGTACTCACAAGTAACTTTTTCTGGATTTTTTCTGATGGGAAGTGTATGTAGGTATTATATATGCTGATATTGGGTGTGTTTATGTGAGTCTATATTTCTTGTTCCCTTGTTTTCATAGCAAGCCGCTTGAAACTATACCTCATACCTTCCCCTTTTAGACAAACTTCTTTTAGTGTTCCAATGAGTTTCTACATAGTGCTAAACCCTAATGTCCCACTGGCACTACTTCATGGAGAAGTGTATAATAGCTAGATTTTAGTGTACAAGACTCGTATCTTTCTGTGAAATCCAATATGTATTTTTTTTTTCTAAAAAAATGTGAAAAAATTCTTTTGACTTATTAATGCAGCATCCTTGGAGCGATACCATTCGTGTGGCTATTGACTTGGAGGCCATGGGTGTTGGAGGGAAGTCTGGCATATTTCAGGTCTGCTTTTGTAAAGAAGTTGAACTCATTGTTTTTTTCCTATTGGCTCTATCTCTCAAACCACCAAACCAAAATTTTGGACAAGAGGCCAGTTGCTATGATGTCAATTTACACACATAAGCAAGGATCAAAATTTTGTCTCGTTTTGTTTTGGACAAGATGACTGAAACTTTCCACGTTCAGTATGATCCGAAACAAATCAGAGATTAGAATCAAGATTCCCATGCTTCGAGCGCAATGATGATGTTTTCTTATGTTTCACAAGTGATATTCCAAGAAACAATGTTGTGTCTTGCCTATCTTAAGGAAGGAAGTGATGGTTGGAACAATTTGTGTTCATTACAAGAAGGTGCTCTTAAGCAATTTATTTGTGTTATAGGTCCTTTAAATCTTATAAATTTGCTTCTGTTGTAAGATTGAATTGTTTGACATTATTTGGAATGTCTTCAAATTCACATTAGCATTTGCTTTATTTCTTCAAATTTGTGCCATCTTGTATAGCTGCATGTTTAGACAAGACACACTCAATTAATCAGTTCTTATGTTTTTCTACATAAATAAATTGATTTTACTTTATGTTTCAATTGTTTCCACACAATCTGATGAATGATCATTTGATGCTCACTTTATTTCCTCCCTCTGTCTTGATTGATCCTCATTGCCTGTTAATCTATGTTTTGATTTTTTACATTCTTGTTTTTTCTTATTTTCCTTTACCTTTGACAGGCTGGTCCTCATCCATGGGCTATTGAGAGCTTTGCTATGGTAGCAAAGTACCCGTCTGCCCAAATCATGGCGCAGGTCTGTAATATTTTTTAACAACATCAAACTGTAGAGTACTTAGCCTTTTATAATTCTTAATAGTAAATATTCTCTAACAAATGGCAGAACTTACATTTGACGTAAGTTTAGTGCTGCAGGATCTCTTTTCTTCTGGGGCCATAAAATCTGCAACAGATTTCCAAGTGTACAAGGAGGTAGCAGGTCTTTCTGGGCTTGACTTTGCATATTCGGATAACACTGCTGTATATCACACAAAGGTATTTTTTACCTTCATCTGATTTTGAATATCTTGTTTCTATATCCTACTGGGGATGATGTAGTTTTTGCATTTAACTTTTGTCAAAGTACTCACTCATCTGAAGACAAGTCATTGTCATCAAAGTTTTGGTTGGTTGTAAATCCAATAATTTAAGTGGGCCTAGGATTGGAGCCCTCCAGTATACGGTGCAATCATATCCTGTGTATGCAGCATGCTATATTTTGGTGCATCAGTAGATGTGCTGCAGCCTGGGGTGGCATGGTATGGATAGAAGTGTGGAAGAACACCAGCATTGGGCATGGTGGCCCAGATGATTGTTCAGCATTCCACGACGACTCCCATCATGGCAGACATAATGTTCCCTATNACATTTGACGTAAGTTTAGTGCTGCAGGATCTCTTTTCTTCTGGGGCCATAAAATCTGCAACAGATTTCCAAGTGTACAAGGAGGTAGCAGGTCTTTCTGGGCTTGACTTTGCATATTCGGATAACACTGCCGTATATCACACAAAGGTATTTTTTACCTTCATCTGATTTTGAATATCTTGTTTCTATATCCTACTGGGGATGATGTAGTTTTTGCATTTAACTTTTGTCAAAGTACTCACTCATCTGAAGACAAGTCATTGTCATCAAAGTTTTGGTTGGTTGTAAATCCAATAATTTAAGTGGGCCTAGGATTGGAGCCCTCCAGTATACGGTGCAATCATATCCTGTGTATGCAGCATGCTATATTTTGGTGCATCAGTAGATGTGCTGCAGCCTGGGGTGGCATGGTATGGATAGAAGTGTGGAAGAACACCAGCATTGGGCATGGTGGCCCAGATGGTTGTTCAGCATTCCACGACGACTCCCATCATGGCAGACATAATGTTCCCTATGCAATATATTTGTGGGTTTTGGACAAAAGCACCTATTCACGATTTAAGAATATTGGTCGTATTATTTTTGTCATAATTGGCACAGCATTTTTAGTATTCTGTGTTAGATGGGAACCCATTCCCCCTTGTGTGGATGACATGGGGCAATCTAGCAAAGGTTATAATGGGGCGAAAAGCGATTTGGATTTAAAATCCTTTATTTAAGATAATTGTTTGTTCCTCATTTAAAGCTGGAAAGCAATTGGAATCTTTTATGCAGTTGAAATTGGACTGGTAGAATGATTTAGACTTGGCATTCGGCCATGTGATAATGTTGTGTGGCCTTAATAATGTCAGTAATGTGGTTTTTTTAACAAGTTTTAAGTACTTTCCTTGTGCAGAATGACAAATTAAAGCTTTTGAAATCGGGTTCCCTTCAGCATCTTGGAGAAAATATGCTGGCCTTTTTGCTTCAGGCTGCTGCTTCCTCTCATCTTCCTACAAGCGAGGCTATGGAAGCAGATGAAAAATCAGACCAGGACACTGTTATATATTTTGACATTTTGGTACCTTTATGAACTGAAACTATCAATTTCTCTGGCTATAACTTTTTTTTTCTCTCTTTTTGCAATGATAATGCTGGGAATTCTGTCACCTTGGAGTCAATTTTGCCTGGGTTTGTCATTTTCTAATGCACCTTTAATGCAATTCTCAGGGCACACACATGATTGTATTCCGTCAACGATTTGCCAGTATGCTGTACAATTCAGTGATAATGCAATCTCTCTTGATATGGGCTACATCACTACTGATGGGTGGTTATTCATCTGCTATATCATTGGGCTTATCATTTTTGGGTGTAATCCTCATGTGGATATGTTCATTAAGTTTCTCCGCTCTGGTTGCCTTTATTCTACCTCTTGTATCTTGGTCTCCAGTGCCCTATGTTTCAAGCCCATGGCTCGTAGTTGGTTTATTTGCGGCACCTGCTCTCCTTGGGGCATTCATTGGCCAACATGCAGGTTATCTCATTCTTGAAACATATTTGTTACGTGTATTTTCCAAAAGAAAGGGGAACCTGTCGCCTGTCCTTCAAGCTGCTTGGGCAAAGTTGGATGCCGAAAGATGGCTCTTTAAAGCTGGTTTACTGCAGTGGCTTATTCTTTTGATGGTGGGAAATTATTATAAGATTGGATCCGCTTATGTTGCCCTTGCTTGGCTAGTCTCACCTGCATTTGCATGTAAGTTAACATAGTTATTCTAGCCTAAGGGTGCCTGGACAGAACTTAATCTGAGGCGCTATGTGTGCTCCATTTATATATATTTTAGATACTTGCCTCATTATGTTCAGCATTTTTTAGCAATTGGTTGTGTTGAGCTCTGCCTTTTTGCCATAAGTGTGACAATGGTACAAATCTGTTGATCCTCTGGTGTGGAGGTCAAATCTTCATGCAGCTCAGTCTGGCTGGATGGTTCTAACTAGCTTGGGAACCATCCTCTGGATTACCATATGGCCTGCATGTGGGTTTCTGATGGGCTATTTGAGCCATAGCCTTGGCCTTCCCATCTGGGTGGCCCTTTGGCAAAAGGAACTTTATGTGAAGCCATTTTGTAAATTGAAACTTGGAACTCCATCTCCAAGTACTAGGCAAACATTGCGAATATAGATGAACATGTTTCTGCATGCTCAACATGCTTGTACATGTTTACACAAACTTATATTCCATCATAAATATGGCTATATATGAAAAAGGACAACTTGGTGCACGAGACTCTTGCCATTACCGGATCTCAGGAGGGTTAGATGTATGTGGCTTTCCCCTGGCATGTGGAAAGACTATACCCGTGACTCGAACGCTTGATGGTCAGATCACAATAGAGCAACCTTAGTGGTTCGTTCACCATCATAAATATGGATATATTTATGAACATAAATTTAGGCACATGTGAACTTTTTTGTTTACATGCTTATATCCTATCCAATCAATTTGATGATATGAAAGCATACATTCCTGCATAAAATGCATGGTTATTTAGCTCTTTGATGCATTTGATCAGTAGATATAAGTTTTTGCGAAACTTCAGCCAAAAACTGGAAATGAGAAGACAAGTTATTGTTTTTGAATGATTTTAAATGAAGAATTTGTTTGCCTGTAAAACTTTTTCTGAACAAATACCTGCGATATGAATGTGTATCTAACATGAAAAATATTGCCGTGTCCACACTGCAATGAACAAATACCTGCGATATGGATGTGTATCTAACATGAAAAATGTTGCTGTGTCCTCACTGCATAAGAGACTGGATAAATTTTTCTCGTAATATAGCTCTTATGTTACCAAGCTGGAATTCATTGTATTAATATTATTTGTTGATTCTTGAATGTCTAGATGGTTTGCTTGAAGCAACTTTATCCTCAACACGGTTACCAAAGCCACTCAAAACTCTAACCCTGCTGATGGGCCTAGCTGCCCCATTCTTACTTTCTTCGGGCATGTTTATTCGGTTGGCGGCCACAATAATTGGAACTGCAGTTCGGTTTGAAAGGTAATGTTTCTAATGATGTTATCATCATGTGAGAGGAACACCAACTCTTAGTAAAACCAGGTTTGTGTTTAATTTCTTGGTCCTTTTTGCCATTCTGTGAACTTTTAGATTAATTAGAAGTTCGTATCTCTTTCGAAATATACTTGATGGAAAATGCCTTATTAGTTGTGATGGGTTTTACTTTTTCTTTGTTAACCTTTGAGGTATTTTTTCTGTTACTAAAAAGTAATAAGCAATCATTCATTAGGTTAGGTGAATATTGATTGTCATTTATAAGTTCCTTTGTCCTTTTGAGTTTTTGGTGGTGGTCATCTTCAGGCTTAATATGCTTGTGTTAGCATGAATAAGATTTGGTTTTCAATCTCTACGCCCTTTTAGGTTGTAAACGTTTCTAATGTCAGTTATAGTAAAATATTTGTACTTTTGAATATTGTGAGGTCAAGGGTTCAAGCCCCCTCCCTCCTCCCTCCTCCCTCCCAAAAAAATTAAAATGTTAAAAATAATATTTAAAAAAAAAAAAGTATTAGCCATGACCCTGTATTGACCTCTGCGTTGGACATAGCTACAATATTTTATTTCTTACTCTTCCAAGTAGTCAAATTCCCACCCACAAAAAACTACAACAATCTGATACAGACCGTCTCTCTAGATGATCACTTGCCTAGTTGGCGTCCAAGACGCCAACTATCTCTATCTAGTCAGTGGGTCTCAAAAATAAGCCCTTACTTGGTACCTCAAGGTATGAAATACCATTTCCCAATGTTGTTGTGTTGAAATTTGCATAAACTAAAGGATTATTCTTTTACAAATGCAATAGCTAGTTGTGTAACTCACGGACAAGTCTCCTATTGTTTTCCTGGATCATCTAATGAGTTACCTTCGTCTCTGCTGAACCTTGTATTTTTATCCATTTTATGTCAACTGGTTTGGCTCCCATCGTATCAGTCTCACCAAGAAGATCAAGTAAATGCTTTTTCTAAGACCGTTATATGTCTGCCGTTGATTTGTTTACCTCAATACCAAGACAACACAGTATAGCCTTCATGCACATTTTGTGTGTGCACTAGAATCCCAGGTAGACCTTTCATAGTCGGGCTTTGTATATTATGTGCCCGTAATGAATTACCAGTTGTGATAACCATTTTGCACGTTTACGACATAGAGTTCTACTTCGTTCTCTCAATTTAAAGTTTAAAAAATTTATGTTTGTGATCTATTAGGTATCCAAAGAACAACTACTAGCTTGCCTTCTGTTTCTGTGCAGGAATCCTGGTAGCACTCCTGAATGGCTGGCGAACATCGTACTTGCTGTATATATTTCTGTTATCACATGTCTGACGGTGGTTTATCTCTTGTCCTATGTGCATATTTCAGGTTCTCATTAGTTGCAATTACTTTTTGGTTTGCACCTGGTTATGACATTTTTGTGGATGATATGGAATATTGGCATTCACTGCGAACCAAATTTATAGTCCAGCTTTGTCTAACTTCTAACAGAGACATGTATTCAGTGTACTAACACTCGACTAAAAGATTATGAAGTCCCAAGACTATCCCTCTGAAAGTATATACAGTTACATTTTTTATGATTGGCCATGGGGCATCTTTTCTGAAACTAGTCTAAGAGGATAACTTAGGAAACCAATATATCTTTTACTTTGATGTTTCTAGGTAGGAACTTTCTGAAATATCCCATAAAGGAGAGGAATAAGGTGAAATATGAGACAGAGGGAGTATTAGTGAGTGATGCTAATGGGTCAGTTCCAAGAAGCGATTTATTCAAAATTCAACACTACCTCTACCAATTACCTGTCTTGTCACTTGCAGATTGTAATTCAGATTCAGAGTAATTTATTTTGTTTAAGACATGAAATATAGTGAATCATCTGACATGTATGTACCTAAACTCATAGAGTTGGTATCTGTTTGTAAGTCTAGATCATTCTACTAGAACTGGTTGGTTCCAAATTGGATGGACTTAGCAGCATGGTCCACATCTGCTCCATGTATAAGCAGTGGACCCTTTTGTCCTACTACAAGGGTCCAAATATTTTGATTATCAACTCATTTCCCATCAAAACTCAGGTCGAACACTCTTTTATGACATAGAGGTCAAGTGCCTACCTCACCTAGCATTGCATTCTACTTTGGGAACAAGTTTACCTGCAGGTCATGAAAGCAAGACAGACTAAGATGCCATTATTAATATCACATATCATGGTTAGAAAGGAAATGCGTAACCTTTGTTTGTGTTTTTTTTTTTTGGGGGGGAGGGGAGTTCCTACAAACTTATCCAAAATGTTAAAGTTCTTAATTTCTATATTAGACATAAGTTAATTAGTTTAGGGTAATATTGTAATTACGTTAATATTGTTCAGTTATAAATAAAGAGTGTAAGGCAATCTAGCCACTATAACTGATTATTCTTTCTTTCTCCGCCTCTTATTATTTCTCTCCTCTTATTCTCTCCTAATCCGAACCTTAATATCACTTTAATATTTCAACTTGGTATCAATGTAATCGAATAATCATTGAATATTAGAGCAAAATATTCGAGGAAGAAAACAATGAAGATCCCGTCATTGACATCCGCTGAAGCATGATGACGTCATGCTAATGTCAGCATCCTTCAACAACGAAAACACCGATCCATGGTTGACTTCTTGGGCTGAGATTTATTGTGATTTTTTGAGATCATCTGAATACACTTCCCTATTTTTGAAATTTTTTTTTTTTGAAAAATTGGTCTGATTTCTTCAATCCAACTGTTTCTTGTAACCCAATGATTTGTGAAGCCTCATTCCTTCACAGAAGAGTGCGACCAGGCCTTAGAGATCATCTGGGAGTGACTCATGGTTGCTTGTGGTGTTTGGATGTGTTTTTCCTGGCAGTTTGGAGCTCTCAGCTTGATATTTTTGGCATGCCAGTGAAGCTTCAGCAATCATCTTTCCTTGTTTTGGTATTCTGGGCCTTACATTAAATCTCAGTGTACTGTTGGTGTGTGGGTTTATGTTATTATGATGATTTTGGACTGATTTGGTGTTGGGTCTATACTGTGGAGTGTTCTATGCAACATTAGCGACTCCTAGGGTGTTGCTGGTTTGTGGCTTTGTTCTTTTTTTTTTTTACGCTGAATTTGTCTTGTTGGTGTTGGGTTTACTTTGGACTACCGTTGGATTTGGTTTTTTTTTTTTTGGGTTGGCTGCTTTGGACTACAGTTGTGCTGTTCACCTTTTTTTTGGGTGGTGTTTGTTTGGGATTTCCTTGGTTTTCTTATCCTCTGATATTACTACTTGGTTGTGGATTGGACTATGACAATTTCTGAGGAGGCAGAGGATACATCAGTTGATGTTCTGGTTCGACAAGTCTATACGGTGGATGATCAAGTTAGGTAGATTACTTCTTTGAAGTTAAATGGAGCTAACTATTATTCTTGGTCTCATGCTATTAAAGTTTTCTTACGTTCTAAATGGAAAGTTGAGTATTTGATTGAAAGTCCTCTTCCTGAGGCATTCAAAAAAATTTCCTAGAGCGAGAATTCCTTGGTGATAACTTGGTTGTGGCATAATATAGAGCTTGATGTAGCTTTGAATGTTCAACTTTTTGATACAATTGAGAAGATTTGACTCTGTTGAGGAGATGTACTCACAGGAACATAATGTGTCCCAAATTTATAAACTTTTTAAGATGTGTTTAATACCAACCAAGGGAGTAAGTCTCTGGCTGAGCATTATGATACTTTGAAAGGGTTATAAGAGGAATTTTTGCTTTATCAGCCATTTAGTTTGGATCTAGAGGTACAACGACGACAACATGAAGATTTTTAGGTTGTTCTATTCTTGTCCTATCTTAATTCTGAATATGGTGTGTTCGAAGATCAGATTTTGGTTATTGAAAAACTTCCAATTGCTGTGAATACTTATTCCCGTCTTCAGAGAGCCTCTTTGAATCAGGGGACTCCATCTCCCTTAGAAGAGTTCTCTACTTTGCTCTCTAGTAACAGTAATCATGGTGGTCGTGGAGGTGGTCGTCATCCAACCTCAAGCAGTAATCGTGGTGGAGGTACTAGTCGTTGTTGTCGATGTGGTTATGACAATCATTTTGAGTGGAAATGTTCTTATTATGGTTATAGGGCTGCTAGACATATTGAGGGTTATAGTTGGGATAAACATAGAAGCTCGGTTTATGCTAATCATGTTTCTGATGATCTGATTCTTCCAGTATCTCCGCCATTGACGGGTAAACCTACTATATCTGCACCTGGCTCTCATGATAATCTTAATTCTCAATTTAGTCAACTCATCCGACAGTTGTCTTCACTATCTTCTCATTTGTGCCTACTTCAACTGCGGGTTTAGCCACTGTCGATAATTTTGCACATATGGCAACACAATCTATCTCACCATCTTGGATTGTTGTTTTGGGAGCTAGTGTCCACATGTATGGTATTTTCTCATTATTTTCTAACTTTTGTTATTCTAACTCACTTATTGTTTTAACTGATGGTTCTTTTAAACCAATACATGGAATTGTTGATCTCCATCTTATCAATTCCATGTCATTAACATGCCAGTTTAGCCATTGTAGATAATTTTGCACATGTGGTAGCACAATTCATCTCACCATCTTGGATTATTGATTCGGGAGCTAGTGCCCACATGTTTGGTATTTCCTAGTTGTTTTCTAATTTTTGTTTTTCTAACTTTCGTATTGTTTTAACCGATTGTTCTTTTAGACCAGTACGTGAGATTGGTGATCTCCATCCTATAGATTCCATATCATTAACGTCTAGTTTATTTGTCTCTCAGTTTTTCTTTAATTTGTTATCTGTGTGAGTCGGTTAACCAAGTTTTTAAGTGTTCAGTAACCTTTTCTCCATCCTCTTGTTTTTTTTTTTTGAGGACCTCTAGACGAAAAAGATAATTGGTTTAGAGAATGGGTAAAATAGACTTTACTATTTGGATTCTAGATCAGCATTTCCAGCATTGAGTGCTACCATGTCTCCCCTGCAATGGCATTTTCAATTGGATTGTCTTTCACCGTAGAAGTTTCGTCAAGTCATTCTTAGTTNTTTGTGATCATTGTTAATGATTATTCTCGTATGACTTAATTGTTTCTTATGAAAGATTGTGTTGAATTGCCTAATTTTTTTTTACCTTCTATAATAAAATCCTTGTCCAGTTTGATAAATGAATTGAGATATTGCATTCAGATAATGCCCTTGAGTATGTACAATCATTTATGAATGCATTTTGTGCTTATCGTGGTATTATTCATCAGACTACATGTTTACATACATCCCAACAAAATGGTGTTGCAGAACGCAAATATCGTCATTTATTGAATATTACTCGTACCCTCATGTTTAACATGCATGTTCCCAATCTTTATTAGGCAGACATTCTCACTGCAATCTATCTTATTAATTAGATGCCTTCACCCATCTTAGGTAACAAATTTCCGTTCTTCTTGCTCTCTCCTGAGTCCTGATACATTGCTGTTTGGTTTCACGTTTTTGTGTCTTTGGTTGTATTGCTTTCGTTCACTTTCATGATCCGGGTCGAGATAAACAATCCCCTTGCTCAGTTAAGTGTCTTTTTGGGATACTCCCATACTCAGAAAGACTATTACTATTATGACTCTAACTCTCGTCAATATGATGTCAATGTCGATGTTACCTTCTTTGAGTTATCTTTTTTTTTTTCCTTCCCTTCAAGAACTACTCTTGCCCCAAATCTAATATTTACTAGTCAATGGAGCTCACGTCGCCTCATTCCACGGACAGACAAATACTTCTCATAGCTAATTTTGCCTCTTTTCATCGATTCTCCTCACCTTTTCATTGTTTTTTCATTGGCCTTGTTTTTTGTATTTATTCCCAGCTCTTTGAACCAGACATTAACTTTTCTGGGATAGAAATTGGTTATGGATGAGGAAATGAATGCACTTCATGACAATAATACTTGGGATCTTACTTCTCTTCTGTCTAGGAAGTAGCCTGTTAGTTATCGCTGGGTTTACAATGTGAAATATTATCCAGATGGCTTTGTTGAGCGTTTGAAGACAAGATTTGGTTACTAAAGGCTACACCCAAACATATGGTGTGGATTACTGTGGGACTTTCTCCCCTGTTGCTCATCTTAACTCTTTTATTTCTATTGCAGTCAGTTCTATGTAGCCCTTGTATCAACTGGACATAAAGAATGTCTTCTTACACAGAGATCAACATGAGGAAATCTATATGATTCAACCTCTAGGTTATGTTGTTTCAAGCCAAGAGCAATTAGTGTACCATTTGAAGAAAGCATTGTATTGCTTGAAACAACCACCACATGCATAATTTGATAAGTTCAGGATCATGGTACCTCAATTTGGGTTTCAACACTCTACCTCAGATCATTCAATTTTCATTTGTTTTGCTTCNGAGTTGATTATACTATAATCTTAGCTACAAACACTTCTAAGTAAACAATCTAGTTAAATTTTTGTTTTTATTCTTTTAATTAATCACGTTCACTTTGTATATGTATTATAGTGAGACAATAGGCGAATTTTTTGAAAATGAAAAATTGTTATTATTAAAGAATTATTAACAATAGCTATCAAGTCATTGTATAATATTATAAATATAAGATATACGAGTTTATACACGTATCCTAGTCGTATCTATATCCTATTTTTTAGGGTTTTCTCGTATCGTTATATCCATATTGTATTGTACCTGTATCTCGTATCCGTGTTTTCTAGGTCATCAGTCTAGTCGTATTGCTATTGTTCACTCTAACATTTGGAATCCTTCAAGAATAAAGAGTATTTTTGAATTTCATTATNTACCTATTTTTTCCTGGTCTACTACTATCCCTAATAATAATTCATATGACTTTGAAAACACATGAATGTTTTTCAAGTATTATTCACTATCACATGTACAAAGAGTATAAATGAGTTGATTATACTATAATCTTAGCTACAAACACTTCTAAGTAAACAATCTAGTTAAATTTTTGTTTTTATTCTTTTAATTAATCACGTTCACTTTGTATATGTATTATAGTGAGACAATAGGCGAATTTTTTGAAAATGAAAAATTGTTATTATTAAAGAATTATTAACAATAGCTATCAAGTCATTGTATAATATTATAAATATAAGATATACGAGTTTATACACGTATCCTAGTCGTACCCATATCCAATTTTTTACGGTTTTCTCGTATCGTTATATCCATATTGTATTGTATCCGTATCTCGTATCCATGTTTTCTAGGTCATCAGTCTAGTCGTATTGCTATTGTTCACTCTAACATTTGGAATCCTTCAAGAATAAAGAATATTTTTGAATTTCATTAATTTGTGATCATTGTTAATGATTATTCTCGTATGACTTAATTGTTTCTTATGAAAGATTGTGTTGAATTGCCTAATTTTTTTTTACCTTCTATAATAAAATCCTTGTCCAGTTTGATAAACGAATTGAGATATTGCATTCAGATAATGCCCTTGAGTATGTACAATCATTTATGAATGCATTTTGTGCTTATCGTGGTATTATTCATCAGACTACATGTTTACATACATCCCAACAAAATGATGTTGCAGAACGCAAATATCGTCATTTATTGAATATTACTCGTACCCTCATGTTTAACATGCATGTTCCCAATCTTTATTAGGCAGACATTCTCACTGCAATCTATCTTATTAATTAGATGCCTTCACCCATCTTAGGTAACAAATTTCCGTTCTTCTTGCTCTCTCCTGAGTCCTGATACATTGCTGTTTGGTTTCACGTTTTTGTGTCTTTGGTTGTATTGCTTTCGTTCACTTTCATGATCCGGGTCGAGATAAACAATCCCCTTGCTCAGTTAAGTGTCTTTTTGGGATACTCCCATACTCAGAAAGACTATTACTATTATGACTCTAACTCTCGTCAATATGATGTCAATGTCGATGTTACCTTCTTTGAGTTATCTTTTTTTTTTTCCTTCCCTTCAAGAACTACTCTTGCCCCAAATCTAATATTTACTAGTCAATGGAGCTCACGTCGCCTCATTCCACGGACAGACAAATACTTCTCATAGCTAATTTTGCCTCTTTTCATCNTTTACATACATCCCAACAAAATGATGTTGCAGAACGCAAATATCGTCATTTATTGAATATTACTCGTACCCTCATGTTTAACATGCATGTTCCCAATCTTTATTAGGCAGACATTCTCACTGCAATCTATCTTATTAATTAGATGCCTTCACCCATCTTAGGTAACAAATTTCCGTTCTTCTTGCTCTCTCCTGCGTCTTGATACATTGCCGTTTGGTTTCACGTTTTTGTGTCTTTGGTTGTATTGCATTCGTTCACTTTCGTGATTTGGGTCGAGATAAACAATCCCATTGCTCAGTTAAGTGTCTTTTTGGGATACTCCCATACTCAGAAAGACTATTACTGTTATGACTCTAACTCTCGTCAATATGATGTCAATGTCGATGTTACTTTCTTTGAGTTATCTTTTGTTTTTTCCTTCCCTTCAAGAACTACTCTTGCCCCAAATCTAATATTTACTAGTCAATGGAGCTCACGTCGACTCATTCCACGGACAGACAAATACTTCTCATAGCTAATTTTGCCTCTTTTCATGNGTTGTTTGTCATATATTTCGTTATTTGAAAGGAGCTCCAAGGACAGGATTGTTATACTGTCTATCATCATCCATAATTGTTGTTTGTTTTTCAGATATTGACTCGGTAGGTAGTCAAGATGATAGATGATCTACTCATGGTTATTGTACATTTGTTGGTGGTAGCAAGAAGCAGTACGTGATTGCACGTTTTAGTGTAGAGGCTGAGTATTGTGCTATGGCACACACTGCTTGTGAGATGTTACGAGTCCATTCTTTACTTTGTGATATGAGAATAGACGTGTCTTCCCCTATCCAAATGCATTGTGACAACCAAACAACTATTTTCATATCAAGTAATCCAATATTCATGAGCGTACGAAACACATTGAGGCAGATTGTCATTTCATTAGAGATCTCTTAATGCGAAAGGAGACTATTACTCCATATATCAAGTCTGATGATCAACTGCGTGATATTTTTACCAAACTGTTGGCTTGGTCTGCCTTCAGTAGTTTATGTTGGACATTTTTTATTTTTGTGCTACAGCTTGACAGGTAATGTTAGTTCTTAATTTCTATATTAGACATAAGTTATTAGTCTAGGGTAATATTGTAATTGTCTCAATATAATAGAGTGTAGGGCAACCTAGTCACTACAACTGATTATTCTTTCTCTCTCCCCTTCTCATTATTTCTTTTCTCCTATTCTCTCCTAAGCCCAACCCTAATATCACTTTTAGTATTTCAACTATGGGGGTATGTCATTATGCAAACTGAAAAAAATCTAAAAATGATATTTGGTATGAAATGGAGGACTAAAACTCCACCAATGATGGTGCCAACTAGCCAACCTTCTAGTGTCTTGCCACTCATGCCGAACACTAAGGATCAATTACTTCTTTATCTAAGTTTGGATTTTTGTTAGGCAGCGAATGGGTGTGGAACCAGTTGATCCATGAGTCTCTGTTCGGTTTTTTTTTTTTTTTGGGGGGGGAGGGGGTGGTGTCGAGATGGGCCCATTATTCAAGTGCTTGATAAATTGGGTGATTAGGTTGGAAACATCTGTTGGCTCCCCTTGGATAATCTGATTATTCAAGTATTACTTTAAAGGAGGAAGGCTCTAAGTGAATTTACTCCATATTTTAGTCCTAGCAACATGAAAGGAAGCACTATACATGGAGTACAGATCCATTGTGTAGTTAATGGTTCATTTCTTGGCCTCAAAATAACACTAGAAAGGAAGATCACTAATTTGTGTTCACTACTAATTTTGGTTTGTTACCCAAAACTTTCATCATCACCAATTTGAAGCCGTTAAAAAACAATTGGAATTATTTTATGTTTTTATGATCCCTTTTTATTATGTAGCAATTGAGTAATTAGCTTGCCTTTTGCATGCATGTTAGGGTTGCAGTTAGTGGCGAACTGCTGAAATGGTCCAGTGAGTTGAATGGCCAAAGTTTTTGTTGTTTCTATCTATGGAGTTGCTTGTATGTGTAGCAAAATTGTAAAATATTTGGTCATCCTTGGGCTGGAAATTGCAGTGCCAACTATCTGGAAATCACCCCCCCCCCCAATAAAAAAAAAAAAAACGTGCACACACAAAAAAAAGAAGAGGAAAGGTTCTTGTGGTTGGCTTCAGCCCGTGCATTTTAACGAGAATTCATTTGAAGTGCATACCACTTTTTTTTTTCGGGGGAAGAGGACTTGAACCCTTGACCTCAAAAAGACAAAACACAAGGAGTACCATTGAACCAAAGTCCCATTGGTAATAAACTAAATTATCGCCCATTGCATACCACATCTGCAAGACATATTTGAGATTATGCAAGTGAAGTTGTATTTATAAATGCAGCTTAATTTGTTTAGAGTTTTGTTTCCAGGTGCAAAAACGTCCATTATTGTTGCTACCTGTGTTTTGTTTGGCCTCTCGCTTACTGTAGTATTGTCCGGTGTTGTTCCACCATTTACTGAAGATACTGCAAGAGGTGTAAATGTAAGTATTCGTTGGTTCTTAATACCATTAGCATCCATACAGATGGTTCTGACCCATTGTTTGCTTTCACTACAGTGAAAATATCTCTTGGAAGTTGTATAAATTTTTTCTTTTCACAACCTCTGCCCAGGAATCTTGAGATAATACAATTTTGTGCAACATTCAAGCTGTTGTGCATCTGAAGAATTTGCACTAGTTGAATCTCTTCTTTTCTTGTTCTGAGTCAGTTTGTGTGCCAGAGGCATCTTTCTACTGGATTTCATCAGGGCAGCATAATTTTGTCAAAATATATTGGGAGCATATTAGGAAATGTTGCTTTTGATTGTTGGATGGTGACAGCAAATCACCATTATTGCGAGATAACTAGACAATAGTCTTGGCTATGCATATATCGAAATCTTGATTGTTAGGGACCCTAAGGGCTAAGATTATCAAAACTGATTGGTGTTGAAATCTTAAAATTTCCCCCAACACCTGGTTTGGTTGCTTTGTTCATTTTTCATTTTTTCTTCATTTGATGTCACTAGTAAAAGCAGTGTATGACAATGCATTTGGTACCTCTATTTGTGGTTTTCAGCGGCAGCCTTCAACATATTTTGAAAGTTTTGCTAGTAAGCACTTTTTACTTCTAAATTTTTTAAAGCAATTGTGAAATTGCTGAAAAACATGAGGTGAGTCTTACTAAGCACCTGTAACTTCAGGAATGACAAATTTTTTCCNGCGGCAGCCTTCAACATATTTTGAAAGTTTTGCTAGTAAGCACTTTTTACTTCTAAAATTTTTAAAGCAATTGTGAAATTGCTGAAAAACATGAGGTGAGTCTTACTAAGCACCTGTAACTTCAGGAATAACAAATTTTTTCTNGCACTTTTTACTTCTAAATTTTTTAAAGCAATTGTGAAATTGCTGAAAAACATGAGGTGAGTCTTACTAAGCACCTGTAACTTCAGGAATGACAAATTTTTTCCGGGTTCTCAGGTTGTGCATGTGGTGGATACAACCGGAAAATATGGTGAAAAGCGGGAACCTAGTTCTCATATCTCCCTATTTTCAACAACTCCTGGAAAGTTGGTAAAGGAGGTTGCACAGATTGGAGAAGGGTTTGTTTGTGGCAGGGATAAGCCTCTTGATTTTGTTACCTTTTCAGTCAAGTATGGTTGTTGGACCCACAATGATACAGGGAGTGGGTGGAGCGAATCAGATATACCCACACTGCATGTTGAGAGCGATATAAAGGGCGATTGCAGAATTACAGAAATCTTGATTGATACAAAAGCTTCCACACGATGGTCTCTTGCTATTAATACTGAGGAGATTGAGGACTTCCGCCTTAAAGGTATTATTAATTCTACTGAATGTGCGTACTTGCATTGGCCTCAAATTTGTTGACACTCAATACCTTACATAGAACATGTGAACAAAACAAGATGCAAAGTGCTCCATATGTTGTCCTTGCTTTTCAAAAATATAGTTTTGGTTGAGTCCAGTCCAGTGTCGTGTTGATGTTAGGTTATTTGAGTACTAGTATGCTTCAACTTCAGCTTTTCATGCTTTTAGGATTGAAATATATTATTGTAAATCCCAGAATTTTCACAATGTGTTAGCTCTATAGTAGGTCTGTAAACAAATCAAGCTTTAAAGTATATAAAACTTTCTAGTCCGAACTCGCATGAGATAACAACCAATGAATATCTTTATTAGCTTACCCACGGAAAAAAAATATCTTTATTAGCTTACAATTCAGTAGACATGACTGATGAGAACTGAATATTGTGCTTTGTGTGGTATAACTAAATCCTTGAGGGGTTCATATCCATCTATTAGCCTTGTTGGAGTTGTGTCTGCAATTGCATTCACAAGGATTTGACTAATGTGTTGTTTGTTCAATTTTAACAAGAAAATTGTGTTGTACAGTCTAAAACTATACCTGTCCTTTTCTAATGTTCTATTACTTCTCTATGCTAAGAGGTTAAATTGTTGATTTTTTGCAGTATGTGGTTAAAGATCTGTGTATTAGATGTGCTTTTTTTTTCCCTGTACAAATGACGCATTAATTCAGTCACAGGAAGAAAGTATGACCCTATTAGGCATGGTCAACTCCTACTTCTTTGATCATCTGGCAGAGGCATAACTTTTCACTGGGGTCATGCAATGAGTGATGTTAGATTCTGGAACAACATAAAATCCTAATAATGTACTATCATAACATTTAGTTCTGAAAGATTTACAGTAAATAATAAAACTGAAGATTTATTTCAATAAAAAATCTTCTACGACAGTTATTCCCTGCTTACATCGGGGAACAATTCAGCTCTAAACTCCCAGTAACTATGTCTAGCGTCGGGTAACAGTGAACATGAGAGAGAGAGAGAGTGCAAAAGATACATGAGACNCCCTGCTTACATCGGGGAACAATTCAGCTCTAAACTCCCAGTAACTATGTCTAGCGTTGGGTAACAGTGAACATGAGAGAGAGAGTGCAAAAGATACATGAGATGGCTTGCTTGACCCATTTAAATGTTTGGGAATTTCTAAGATTTGCATTGCCTTGCAAACTTTCTGTGGGGATTATGCAAAATCTCTCAAAGTTGCAAAAGGTTATTGTAATCTTTCTTGGAACTTTAGTGGGGTCAGTTGACCCCACTGGAGCAAGGGTGGCTCCACCCTCTGATCATCTTCATCTGCCACTCACCTTGTTGTATTGTGTTGGTAGCATAATGATAGTTCAACTGAAATTGTATAATAGATAATTCTATCTAGACTTGACATTTGATATTGACCTACTCTACATCCTCATCTTTTCCCCTTTGTTAATTTCTGAATGCAGATAATTCTGAGTTAATTCCACTTGATGATAAGAGCAGCACAGATGGATGGCATATTATTCAATTTTCAGGAGGGAAGAATGCGCCAACCAAGTTTAATTTGACTCTTTTTTGGATCAAAAACTACACCCAGATCGCCCACACAGACGATAGCATGACAGAGCATTTGCTTTTAAAACTGAGAACAGATGTGGACAGATTGACAGCACCGGCCGAAAGAGTTCTCATGAAGCTTCCTGCCTGGTGTTCTTTATTTGGGAAGTCCACATCACCACCCACCTTAGCTTTCTTAAGCAGTTTACCTGTGACTTTCTAGGTAAATGATATTTCTAAGCCTCTTCAATTCCCTTGGGCTGGTCAGTTACTTGATACCCGCAGAGGAGAAATATGTTTGCCATCAAGCTATGCATTCTTAGAAAGCCTTGAGATCCTTCAATTTCTTGGGATCATGTACCAGCAGACAGAGTGAGCTGATTTCAAATAGCAAGGTCTGAGACCAGGTGCACATATGGAGGTACAATGCCGGAAAATAATGATTTGTACAATTGCTTTTGATTTGAATAATCTACAACTGTTGCTTGAACAACATATGAAGAAGTAAAATAAGAAAATTTTACACATGACATGCTTTTATTGAACAAAAGGTGAAGGTACAGTATCAAAAAGTGCCATTTTGGTACCGTAATGGGACCCGAAGACGGAGATATCTAAATTCCTTCATGTTAGCTCAATATCCATGTCTATGGTGTGTGATTGCCAGGGTTCTTTTTTTTCAATGCACTAAGATTAATACCATTGTGTCAACCACACTGGTTGATTCAGTGGTTTGAATACAGAAAAGCCATGTACCCATGTCCAATGTTCCATCTCTTGCACACATGACATTCGGGTTGAGGCATATGATTAGAGGTCATGAGTGCAAAAAGTGCACATTTGAAACAATAGAAAAATGGTGGTCAAGTGTACTGGACTTTTGCCATTGCAGAGTGGAGAGAGTCCAAATGTAAGCAGAGTGTGGGTGGCGTGGTCTGCATGGCTAGACCGGTACAAAGACAGGAAAAAGAGTAAAAACAAACAGAACAAGTAGAAAGGAACAGCAAATCAACTTGTACTTGACAAGTAACCAAGCTTCTACTTCAACTGTTTCTTGGTCCAAATCCGTTAATAACTCGAGAGGGGGATTCAACTGGGAACCATAGGTGTCTCAGAACTGTTGGGTAAAGCCCNTTCTTTTTTTTCAATGCACTAAGATTAATACCATTGTGTCAACCACACTGGTTGATTCAGTGGTTTGAATACAGAAAAGCCATGTACCCATGTCCAATGTTCCATCTCTTGCACACATGACATTCGGGTTGAGGCATATGATTAGAGGTCATGAGTGCAAAAAGTGCACATTTGAAACAAAAGAAAAATGGTGGTCAAGTGTACTGGACTTTTGCCATTGCAGAGTGGAGAGAGTCCAAATGTAAGCAGAGTGTGGGTGGCGTGGTCTGCATGGCTAGACCGGTACAAAGACAGGAAAAAGAGTAAAAACAAACAGAACAAGTAGAAAGGAACAGCAAATCAACTTGTACTTGACAAGTAACCAAGCTTCTACTTCAACTGTTTCTTGGTCCAAATCCGTTAATAACTCGAGAGGGGGATTCAACTGGGAACCATAGGTGTCTCAGAACTGTTGGGTAAAGCCCATTCACCAATTTCATATACAGAGACCAGCAAACAGGTTGATGCCTAGGTTAAAAGGGGTAGCATTACTGAACTAAAAAATTATTTTTGGGTACCATAATTTCTATTTTTGTTCAATGAGCATGACACANAACTGTTTCTTGGTCCAAATCCGTTAATAACTCGAGAGGGGGATTCAACTGGGAACCATAGGTGTCTCAGAACTGTTGGGTAAAGCCCATTCACCAATTTCATATACAGAGACCAGCAAACAGGTTGATGCCTAGGTTAAAAGGGGTAGCATTACTGAACTAAAAAATTATTTTTGGGTACCATAATTTCTATTTTTGTTCAATGAGCATGACACATGTAAAATTTATTTATTTTATTGTTTTACCTTCTTTTATTATGTTCTTGACCAGTGGCTATAAATAACTCTAATTGTAATCCGTGACTAAAAATATATATTTTTTATATAATAATATCAAAAAAGTTTTTTTAGTACGGTAACCTAAACTGTTAGAGAATTGGTTGGGATTAGTTGATAATTCNCATGTAAAATTTATTTATTTTATTGTTTTACCTTCTTTTATTATGTTCTTGACCAGTAGCTATAAATAACTCTAATTGTAATCCGTGACTAAAAATATATATTTTTTATATAATAATATCAAATAAGTTTTTTTAGTACGGTAACCTAAACTGTTAGAGAATTGGTTGGGATTAGTTGATAATTCCATCCATCACCAATGAGGATGCTGCTTGTATCAAGATTTTGACAAGTTTTTAACAGAAAAAGGAGAAAAAACACTGACAAAAATATATAAAATTATAAGAACATGAATTCAAATGCATTACTCATCTCAGAATTTCCTACTAACAAATCAACTGCAAAAAGAATTCCCATATAGAGGAAGGGAGGAAGAAAAAAAGAAAGGGAAAAAAAACAGAAAACCCAAAAAAAGAGAAATTACTGACTCCAAACCTATTAAGCTTAAGGACCTAAGCATTACTAGACCTTAACACTGAACACTACGTCACCCACTTATCTCTACCCTTTTTTCACTTAGTTCTCTCCTTTCATTCCTCTTCTCTGCTAGCTAAAATATGTCATCTGCTGCTCCTATTCCCCCATTACATCTCTGTACAAAGACCCAACAAACAAAGAAATGAATAACTGTAAGAGAATAACATAACGAGAGTGAAAGAGGAGGCAGAGAAGAGAAAGATTTCTACAAGGAAAACTGTTCTCTACCTCTCTCCCTCACTTGTTCTTCAATGATGTAGTGAACTCTGGCTAGGTGGTTGTTGGGACAGTTCTTGCAGTCCCCGCCATGGTGGCCTCCTCACCGGCCTTGCTTCTCATCTCGACAACCTTCTTATGGGAATTCGAGTGCAGCGATGGAACAAAAGTTGGACTTGCTGCAGGCCGGTATTCGGGGAAGAGTCGGCCCGACTTGTGGCGAACACCACATGCATTGCAGAGGGTTTTTGGCCCCATTGGGCCAGCCCTCCATTGTGGTGTCTTAGTTATCTCACAATGCAGGCATTTCCTAACTGCTTGCGTCGGCGGATTGTGATGTATCCCCATCTCTGTGGGACCAAAGGGAATTGCCAACTTTATCTTCTTTTTCTTCTTGTGCTCTGTTGCAGCTGGGTTTGGTATATTCTTCATTGGCTGAGACTCCGCAAAATTCTCAGATTCTGAGGAAACCCCAGGAGCAACAAATGGCTGAGGGGTCTCTGTGACGGAGGAAGTTGGAGAGATAAGCTGAATTGCTGGGCGGGGATTGAAAATTGCAGGGCGTGGTCGCTTGCTGCGAGCACGTTGAGGACCACGGTGACTTGGGCTGAGCGGCATAGTCTTCCCCTCTGAGCAGGAACTGCTGCTGCTGCTGCTTTCAAGGACAGATACAGGACTGGAGGTTTGGAATTGGTTGCGGTTCGACTCCTTGGTGGCAGAAGAGTTCTCTTTGCCGACGGTCAGCCCACCACCAGAGAATGAATCTTCCACAAAAGTTGAAAGCCATTCAAGTTGTACAATGTCCTCATACTGAAAGAAAATAGGAAATAGGAAAATAGGACAAAGGCAAACATGAGATATAATTGAACCATGGGTAGAGTATTCAATGTGGAACTTAATGTTCTTAAGCAAATGGGGATAATGAGAAATAATCGATCAATAGAAACAGAAACTTAGACATGACATTCTATGGTTCTGTAAACATTTACTTTTAAGAGTTCCAATGTTAGAATGATAAACTTCTAAAACAAAAGTGGTCCCCCGATTTGCCCGAGACAGTGACTAGCCAACAAGATACAGAGGGAACGAGTACCATTTACATGACACCACCACTGGTACAAGCTGAGACTTGTTCATTCTCATCCATTCATAAACATGTCTATTCCAACCCGAAGACAAAAAGTTTTGATGTCTACGTCCCATTAAACAGAAGACAAAAAGTAAATCATCTTGTCTGTGGACCTATCTGCTATCACACTTGAATTGTACAACTACCAGTGGGGAACCTACCCAAGCATCGTGTTTATTAGCAAATGACATCAGTTTGAAACCTTGACACTTTCATTCCGCTGATATACTATGACAACGTGTTCAGGAACTTGGTTAAAAATTATTCACCCAAGAAAAACTTTGGTTTAAATTGAAAGCTGTAATATGTCCTCATGCAATATCACTTTAATTGAATAATGCATTATAGCCGAGCATTGAGGTCAAACGACCAGCATCTACTTCTCGAATGAGATTGCAGGGGGGCACAATAAACGGAACATCATATGTAACAGATGCAGAAGCTGCAACAACAGGGGGAGTAATCCTCATAATCGGTTTGGCTTATAATAAATGCATTTTTTATAGCCTGNATCATATGTAACAGATGCAGAAGCTGCAACAACAGGGGGAGTAATCCTCATAATCGGCTTATAATAAATGCATTTTTTNTAAACGGAACATCATATGTAACAGATGCAGAAGCTGCAACAACAGGGGGAGTAATCCTCATAATCGGTTTGGCTTATAATAAATGCATTTTTTATAGCCTGATGAGAGGTTTTGACAACACCCACCCACTCTTCTTCATTTGTCTATAGCAATTGATCATACCCAATGATAAGAATGCCAATTCTACAAAAAATTGAATTTGAAGAGATACCAAATTTATACACACAAGCAATGTTTGGAAAGAAAAAAGAAAGGGGAAAGATAACTACATTTCATCACCAACCAACCTTACAGATTGGCCAGAATTCCCCTAATAAAAGCAAAAAACTGATTTGTAAACCAAATAATACTAAAAAATACCAAGATTTTTCCCTTTTTTGACAGAATACTTGTGGCCTAATAAATTAAGAATCTAGTTTTATAGATTGTGGATATGCACTCGGATCCCTTGTTTATACACTTTCTGTGTCGCGCTCCCATTCAATATAAAAGTGCGACTCTTTAAAAGTATAACGGAAAAGACCTAGATGTCATGGCCGCTGACAAAACAGCACATTTTATATTCAAAAACTAAATAAAAACTACCTCAATTTGAAGCAGTAAATTTTTCACCACTTGTCAATATAAAATTTTAATTAGGACAATCAGCATAAAATCAACCCCATGCTGTGAAAGCAAATTTCATACTACTTTGAGGCCCACAGCTCAGCTGGCAGCTATATAGCCAAACAATGACATCATAATTCACCGGCGTGACATGACACTGTATTACATTATTTCATACCTTTCTTTTTTCTTCGACCTATCGTAGCACGACCCGACCCGACGAGATTCGAGATACGATACAATTTTTATATGGACTGGGCTTATTTTTTAGCAATGCTGTAGAACTTAATTTAATACAATTATTGTGAATTATAATATTAGATAAAATTTACTAATTATTACCATTAATAGTAATAGATATCACAATAAATATATAAAAAAAACTGGAAAATTATAACGACAGGAAATTAATGAAATTGTTGTGACAAAGGAAAAATACTCACCGGAACAGCGAGTTCAGCGGAGAGGTCGGAAGCACTACTGCGGTGGCCACCACAGAAAATGGGGTCAGAACTCGGCAAGGTATCCAATGGGTTTGACCAAATGGCCGGAAAACCGGTGCCGTCGCCGGAGCCAAGACCACATCCATTGTCGGTAGGAAATTCGATCAAATCATCGAAATTGTCGAAGAAGCTGCCGCAATCGATCTCGTCCATGAAATTGGGCCCCAACATTTTCAATAAATCTGAATTTTTTTTTTCATGAGAAAATGAGAAGGAAAAATAAGTAATGAGAGTGAGAAAAAATAAAATGAGTGCATTTTTTTTTATTTTTTGGTAACGTGCGCGGTGTGCGGGGCCACACCACACTTGTCCTCTGCGTTTCACAAAACACAAATGACGTATGCACAGCGTAGAGGACTGTGGCGCATGTTAGCAAAAAAGTCTGAAAACTTTTTTTTTATTGAGTGTTGTTCGGATTAATTTATATGCAATTCCACTAATCTCACGATTATTCAAACTGGAATTATGATAAATCTCTTGAATTTGAACTCAAAACGTCTCTATTTATACCAAGTTTCTTGAACTACCACGAGGGTAAGGAAAAATTGTTTGCCAAATTAAAAATGGAATTTTTTTGGAAAAATTTATTAAATTTGGTGTGGAATTTGAAGAGCTTTAGCGCAATTTTACTCCGAAATCGAAGATAAAATGTTCGGCTGCTGAGAAAACAGAGGAAAAGAAGAATAAGTGATAGAAAAAGCAAACCTTGAGGGCTTTGGACAGAGCAAAATGGTCAGAACTTGAAGGTTCTTCACTAGACTAAGACCTGCAAAAAAAAAAAACAATTGAAAGAAAAAAGTTCAGGAATCGGAATACATTTGGAAACAGAAAATGGTATAGTCAGTGGGTTCTGTTTGGTTACTCGGAAAACGAGAGAAAAATCACAACTTTTGAATGCAAACATCTTTAAGAAGAAAACATTCCACTCAACTGAGATTCTGATATAACAAATTTTGGCTCATTTGAGTGGGTTTTTTTCCTTCTCTGATAACAAAACAAGAGAGAGAAAGGCTCAAATTTTGTTTTCTTTCTCAGCTTCCAAACAGGGGACCAAAAAATTATACTCCAAAAAGCTAAAATGAAAACCAAAATGTCCCTAAATTGAGTAAATTCAATGAAAAAACGAAGAGAAAATGGTTTCATAAACCATACAATTCTACATTTTGAGCGGAATTAGAAATGAAATTCCAGAAAATGCAGAGCCAAACCTGTAGGAAAAACCCAAATGCAATTCCCGCCAAGAAAAAAACACCCAGTAACCGTAGCAGAGAGAGAGAGAGAGAACTGAGAACTCAAAAAGGTTTTTTGGCGTACACTTCGAGACAGAGCAGAGACTGAGTGAAAAAAACTGCTCCTACTGTTAAACCCTATTCCTCCGTTACACCCTTTTTAACAGTACTACTCTGTTTCTATGGCACCAGATAGAGTACCACTGGAAATGAGAAACAGGGAGAGAGAGAGAGAGGAGGGGTTGGAGTTGAGTTTTGAAAGGAGAGAGAAGAGAGGAGAGGGGACTAAAAAGGGTGGGAAGAGAGGGAGAGAGAGAAAGAGGAAAAAAATACGAGTGATGTTAGGTGAGCCTCTCCCTTCATTGCTAGCTGTCTTTTACTCTCAAACCTTCATTGTCGTGATGTTTAAGTCTTCTTCAATACCACCCTCCTCTCTCTCTCTCTCTCTACCTACAGGGCCCCACACCACCAGGTCCACCACCTCTCTCCCACCGCTCCTCAGCCCTTTAACATTTATTGACATGTGTATACATAGAATGTATATTCAGATGATACATACATAGGCATGTGATGTATACATTTATGAATATATGCGTTTCACGGATTTTCAGATGTGAAAGAGGAAAGTAGAGGGGGTGGTGGTGGGAATTATTGGGATTCTACCTTCCTTTTGTTTCTTTCTCAACCCAAGCCTTTTCTCTTTCTTTTCGTGTTTTAATTTAAAAGACGTGCTAAATACTAAAATTTGAGTAGTGAAAAATAAATTTTTGATATATATATTTTTTTATAATTATAGGATGAGATGTATAAAATTTTATTTTATAATTTCTATAACTAAGGACTATTAGTGGATGGAACCAATCTACTATGCTGAGAATTATTTTTTTGAACAATATTAACAAAAGATTAATTTTTGGTACGATAATACTTTATTGTTATAGGGTATGGTATGTCGAAGGCATAAATAAAGAGTAAAAATTCTTTATATTGTTATGTCACATATTCCTTGATATGTGATTTAATTATTAATGAAAATACAGTTTTTTTGACTTTATATTATTTTAGATTTTCCATCATATATCTTAAAAGTTGTGGGTCGTATTTGAATTAATGATAGATAATCTACTCTCAAATGAAGTTGAAAGAAAATGTATGTCTTAAAAGGTGGTAGTTATTTAGGTTATATTAGATGCGAAAGTTATTATAACAAATATATTTACTCCAAGATAAGGAAGATAAGGTGNAAGAAAGGGGAAAGATAACTACATTTCATCACCAACCAACCAACCTTACAGATTGGCCAGAATTCCCCTAATAAAAGCAAAAAACTGATTTGTAAACCAAATAATACTAAAAAATACCAAGATTTTTCCCTTTTTTGACAGAATACTTGTGGCCTAATAAATTAAGAATCTAGTTTTATAGATTGTGGATATGCACTCGGATCCCTTGTTTATACACTTTCTGTGTCGCGCTCCCATTCAATATAAAAGTGCGNAAAAAACTGATTTGTAAACCAAATAATACTAAAAAATACCAAGATTTTTCCCTTTTTCGACAGAATACTTGTGGCCTAATAAATTAAGAATTTAGTTTTATAGATTGTGGATATGGACTCGGATCCCTTGTTTATACACTTTCTGTGTCGCGCTCCCATTCAATATAAAAGTGCGACTCTTTAAAAGTATAACGGAAAAGACCTAGATGTCATGGCCGCTGACAAAACAGCACATTTTATATTCAAAAACTAAATAAAAACTACCTCAATTTGAAGCAGTAAACTTTTCATCACTTGTCAATATAAAATTTTAATTAGGACAATCAGCATAAAATCAACCCCATGCTGTGAAAGCAAATTTCATACTACTTTGAGGCCCACAGCTCAGCTGGCAGCTATATAGCCAAACAATGACATCATAATTCACCGGCGTGACATGACACTGTATTACATTATTTCATACCTTTCTTTTTTCTTCAGCACGACCCGACCCGACGAGATACGAGATACCATACAATTTTTATATGGACTGGGCTTATTTTTTAGCAATGCTGTAGAACTTAATTTAATACAATTATTGTGAATTATAATATTAGATAAAATTTACTAATTATTACCATTAATAGTAATAGATATCACAATAAATATATAAAAAAAACTGGAAAATTATAACGACAGGAAATTAATGAAATTGTTGTGACAAAGGAAAAATACTCACCGGAACAGCGAGTTCAGCGGAGAGGTCGGAAGCACTACTGCGGTGGCCACCACAGAAAATGGGGTCAGAACTCGGCAAGGTATCCAATGGGTTTGACCAAATGGCCGGAAAACCGGTGCCGTCGCCGGAGCCAAGACCACATCCATTGTCGGTAGGAAATTCGATCAAATCATCGAAATTGTCGAAGAAGCTGCCGCAATCGATCTCGTCCATGAAATTGGGCCCCAACATTTTCAATAAATCTGAATTTTTTTTTTCATGAGAAAATGAGAAGGAAAAATAAGTAATGAGAGTGAGAAAAAATAAAATGAGTGCATTTTTTTTTATTTTTTGGTAACGTGCGCGGTGTGCGGGGCCACACCACACTTGTCCTCTGCGTTTCACAAAACACAAATGACGTATGCACAGCGTAGAGGACTGTGGCGCATGTTAGCAAAAAAGTCTGAAAACTTTTTTTTTATGGAGTGTTGTTCGGATTAATTTATATGCAATTCCACTAATCTCACGATTATTCAAACTGGAATTATGATAAATCTCTTGAATTTGAACTCAAAACATCTCTATTTATACCAAGTTTCTTGAACTACCACGAGGGTAAGGAAAAATTGTTTGCCAAATTAAAAATGGAATTTTTTTGGAAAAATTTATTAAATTTGGTGTGGAATTTGAAGAGCTTTAGCGCAATTTTACTCCGAAATCGAAGATAAAATGTTCGGCTGCTGAGAAAACAGAGGAAAAGAAGAATAAGTGATAGAAAAAGCAAACCTTGAGGGCTTTGGACAGAGCAAAATGGTCAGAACTTGAAGGTTCTTCACTAGACTAAGACCTGCAAAAAAAAAAAACAATTGAAAGAAAAAAGTTCAGGAATCGGAATACATTTGGAAACAGAAAATGGTATAGTCAGTGGGTTCTGTTTGGTTACTCGGAAAACGAGAGAAAAATCACAACTTTTGAATGCAAACATCTTTAAGAAGAAAACATTCCACTCAACTGAGATTCTGATATAACAAATTTTGGCTCATTTGAGTGGGTTTTTTTCCTTCTCTGATAACAAAACAAGAGAGAGAAAGGCTCAAATTTTGTTTTCTTTCTCAGCTTCCAAACAGGGGACCAAAAAATTATACTCCAAAAAGCTAAAATGAAAACCAAAATGTCCCTAAATTGAGTAAATTCAATGAAAAAACGAAGAGAAAATGGTTTCATAAACCATACAATTCTACATTTTGAGCGGAATTAGAAATGAAATTCCAGAAAATGCAGAGCCAAACCTGTAGGAAAAACCCAAATGCAATTCCCGCTAAGAAAAAAACACCCAGTAACCGTAGCAGAGAGAGAGAGAGAGAACTGAGAACTCAAAAAGGTTTTTTGGCGTACACTTCGAGACAGAGCAGAGACTGAGTGAAAAAAACTGCTCCTACTGTTAAACCCTATTCCTCCGTTACACCCTTTTTAATACTACTCTGTCTCTATGGCACCAGATAGAGTACCACTGGAAATGAGAAACAGGGAGAGAGAGAGAGAGGAGGGGTTGGAGTTGAGTTTTGAAAGGAGAGAGAAGAGAGGAGAGGGGACTAAAAAGGGTGGGAAGAGAGGGAGAGAGAGAAAGAGGAAAAAAATACGAGTGATGTTAGGTGAGCCTCTCCCTTCATTGCTAGCTGTCTTTTACTCTCAAACCTTCATTGTCGTGATGTTTAAGTCTTCTTCAATACCACCCTCCTCTCTCTCTCTCTCTCTACCTACAGGGCCCCACACCACCAGGTCCACCACCTCTCTCCCACCGCTCCTCAGCCCTTTAACATTTATTGACATGTGTATACATAGAATGTATATTCAGATGATACATACATAGGCATGTGATGTATACATTTATGAATATATGCGTTTCACGGATTTTCAGATGTGAAAGAGGAAAGTAGAGGGGGTGGTGGTGGGAATTATTGGGATTCTACCTTCCTTTTGTTTCTTTCTCAACCCAAGCCTTTTCTCTTTCTTTTCGTGTTTTAATTTAAAAGACGTGCTAAATACTAAAATTTGAGTAGTGAAAAATAAATTTTTGATATATTTTTTTTTTTATAATTATAGGATGAGATGTATAAAATTTTATTTTATAATTTCTATAACTAAGGACTATTAGTGGATGGAACCAATCTACTATGCTGAGAATTATTTTTTTGAACAATATTAACAAAAGATTAATTTTTGGTACAATAATACTTTATTGTTATAGGGTATGGTATGTCGAAGGCATAAATAAAGAGTAAAAATTCTTTATATTGTTATGTCACATATTCCTTGATATGTGATTTAATTATTAATGAAAATACAGTTTTTTTGACTTTATATTATTTTAGATTTTCCATCATATATCTTAAAAGTTGTGGGTCGTATTTGAATTAATGATAGATAATCTACTCTCAAATGAAGTTGAAAGAAAATGTATGTCTTAAAAGGTGGTAGTTATTTAGGTTATATTAGATGCGAAAGTTATTATAACAAATATATTTACTCCAAGATAAGGAAGATAAGGTGGTGAGTATGTATGGAATCCCATAATTTTTGGGTATTATATATTTTTTTAAAATTTATTTATTTCATATCAAAAAACTATGAATATAAAAAATAAATCATAAATTTATTTTTTGAATAATTATCTCCATGAGGCTAATATATAATTAAGCCAGTTATCCATATTTGAAAAATAAAATCTTAGTTGACAGATATGTGAAAATATATAATCTCTCTATATAACATGTTTCATTAGTGGATCGCATTTTCTTTCATATGTAATCGGGGATATGAATGAAAATCTTTCATCGGGCATTAATTAATTTCGAGGTTAATGATTGATCTAACGATTACCGTTTCTATTGTTAAACCTTCGAGTCATAGATTTAAATGTCTTCGTGCCCTTTTTGTATTAGTGTCTGACTAAAGAAAAATCATTAACTCCCACAATCTACATCTCACNCACTTGTCAATATAAAATTTTAATTAGGACAATCAGCATAAAATCAACCCCATGCTGTGAAAGCAAATTTCATACTACTTTGAGGCCCACAGCTCAGCTGGCAGCTATATAGCCAAACAATGACATCATAATNTTATATTGTTATGTCACATATTCCTTGATATGTGATTTAATTATTAATGAAAATACATTTTTTTTGACTTTATATTATTTTAGATTTTCCATCATATATCTTAAAAGTTGTGGGTCGTATTTGAATTAATGATAAATAATCTACTCTCAAATGAAGTTGAAAGAAAATGTATGTCTTAAAAGGTGGTAGTTATTTAGGTTATATTAGATGTGAAAGTTATTATAACAAATATATTTACTCCAAGATAAGGTTNATTCACCGGCGTGACATGACACTGTATTACATTATTTCATACCTTTCTTTTTTCTTCAGCACGACCCGACCCGACGAGATACGAGATACCNATTCACCGGCGTGACATGACACTGTATTACATTATTTCATACCTTTCTTTTTTCTTCGACCTATCGTAGCACGACCCGACCCGACGAGATTCGAGATACGATACAATTTTTATATGGACTGGGCTTATTTTTTAGCAATGCTGTAGAACTTAATTTAATACAATTATTGTGNTGTGAGTATGTATGGAATCCCATAATTTTTGGGTATTATATATTTTTTTAAAATTTATTTATTTCATATCAAAAAACTATGAATATAAAAAATAAATCATAAATTTATTTTTTGAATAATTATGTCCATGAGGCTAATATATAATTAAGCCAGTTATCCATATTTGGAAAATAAAATCTTAGTTGACAGATATGTGAAAATATATAATCTCTCTATATAACATGTTTCATTAGTGGATCGCATTTCCTTTCATATGTAACCGGGGATATGAATGAAAATCTTTCATTGGGCATTAATTAATTTTGAGGTTAATGATTGGTCTAACGACTACCGTTTCTATTGTTAAACCTTCAAGTCATAGATTTAAATGTCTTCGTGCCCTCTTTGTATTAGTGTCTGACTAAAGAAAAATCATTAACTCCCACAATCTACATCTCACTTTTTTTTTTTTAATTTTTTTTTGTTGACGACACAGGTTTTTCTCACTTTTTTTCTTTAATCTCTTAATTGGAAAAAAGTTGATTCAGATGTGATGGTTTTACTGTTTTTTGATTAATAACTATTGACCTTGTGGTAATCAACCATATTTATCACAGGTTGGAAATTTTACAGTTATATATTATGGTATTGTAGTCCACTTTAACAATACTAGTTTTGTATCATCTTAGTTATAAATTATGTTAATTTTGATCAATTTTAAGTATTTATATTTGGATTTACTGTATCTTAATAATAAATTTGATTGTTTTCACTGCCTAAAACGTTAATCTATTTGCACATAATGCACTCCAAACTAGATATTCCGGGCTTACGTATATAAGAGAATCAATTTATTCAAACGACGATAAAGTTGTCAATTTTTTTTTACTAATAAATCGACAATGTTAGTTTCGAATTTTTTACGTTGAACGGGNGATACAATTTTTATATGGACTGGGCTTATTTTTTAGCAATGCTGTAGAACTTAATTTAATACAATTATTGTGAATTATAATATTAGATAAAATTTACTAATTATTACCATTAATAGTAATAGATATCACAATAAATATATAAAAAAAACTGGAAAATTATAACGACAGGAAATTAATGAAATTGTTGTGACAAAGGAAAAATACTCACCGGAACAGCGAGTTCAGCGGAGAGGTCGGAAGCACTACTGCGGTGGCCACCACAGAAAATGGGGTCAGAACTCGGCAAGGTATCCAATGGGTTTGACCAAATGGCCGGAAAACCGGTGCCGTCGCCGGAGCCAAGACCACATCCATTGTCGGTAGGAAATTCGATCAAATCATCGAAATTGTCGAAGAAGCTGCCGCAATCGATCTCGTCCATGAAATTGGGCCCCAACATTTTCAATAAATCTGAATTTTTTTTTTCATGAGAAAATGAGAAGGAAAAATAAGTAATGAGAGTGAGAAAAAATAAAATGAGTGCATTTTTTTTTATTTTTTGGTAACGTGCGCGGTGTGCGGGGCCACACCACACTTGTCCTCTGCGTTTCACAAAACACAAATGACGTATGCACAGCGTAGAGGACTGTGGCGCATGTTAGCAAAAAAGTCTGAAAACTTTTTTTTTATTNGCGCGGTGTGCGGGGCCACACCACACTTGTCCTCTGCGTTTCACAAAACACAAATGATGTATGCACAGCGTAGAGGACTGTGGCGCATGTTAGCAAAAAAGTCTGAAAACTTTTTTTTTATGGAGTGTTGTTCGGATTAATTTATATGCAATTCCACTAATCTCACGATTATTCAAACTGGAATTATGATAAATCTCTTGAATTTGAACTCAAAACGTCTCTATTTATACCAAGTTTCTTGAACTACCACGAGGGTAAGGAAAAATTGTTTGCCAAATTAAAAATGGAATTTTTTTGGAAAAATTTATTAAATTTGGTGTGGAATTTGAAGAGCTTTAGCGCAATTTTACTCCGAAATCGAAGATAAAATGTTCGGCTGCTGAGAAAACAGAGGAAAAGAAGAATAAGTGATAGAAAAAGCAAACCTTGAGGGCTTTGGACAGAGCAAAATGGTCAGAACTTGAAGGTTCTTCACTAGACTAAGACCTGCAAAAAAAAAAAACAATTGAAAGAAAAAAGTTCAGGAATCGGAATACATTTGGAAACAGAAAATGGTATAGTCAGTGGGTTCTGTTTGGTTACTCGGAAAACGAGAGAAAAATCACAACTTTTGAATGCAAACATCTTTAAGAAGAAAACATTCCACTCAACTGAGATTCTGATATAACAAATTTTGGCTCATTTGAGTGGGTTTTTTTCCTTCTCTGATAACAAAACAAGAGAGAGAAAGGCTCAAATTTTGTTTTCTTTCTCAGCTTCCAAACAGGGGACCAAAAAATTATACTCCAAAAAGCTAAAATGAAAACCAAAATGTCCCTAAATTGAGTAAATTCAATGAAAAAACGAAGAGAAAATGGTTTCATAAACCATACAATTCTACATTTTGAGCGGAATTAGAAATGAAATTCCAGAAAATGCAGAGCCAAACCTGTAGGAAAAACCCAAATGCAATTCCCGCCAAGAAAAAAACACCCAGTAACCGTAGCAGAGAGAGAGAGAGAGAACTGAGAACTCAAAAAGGTTTTTTGGCGTACACTTCGAGACAGAGCAGAGACTGAGTGAAAAAAACTGCTCCTACTGTTAAACCCTATTCCTCCGTTACACCCTTTTTAACAGTACTACTCTGTTTCTATGGCACCAGATAGAGTACCACTGGAAATGAGAAACAGGGAGAGAGAGAGAGAGGAGGGGTTGGAGTTGAGTTTTGAAAGGAGAGAGAAGAGAGGAGAGGGGACTAAAAAGGGTGGGAAGAGAGGGAGAGAGAGAAAGAGGAAAAAAATACGAGTGATGTTAGGTGAGCCTCTCCCTTCATTGCTAGCTGTCTTTTACTCTCAAACCTTCATTGTCGTGATGTTTAAGTCTTCTTCAATACCACCCTCCTCTCTCTCTCTCTCTCTACCTACAGGGCCCCACACCACCAGGTCCACCACCTCTCTCCCACCGCTCCTCAGCCCTTTAACATTTATTGACATGTGTATACATAGAATGTATATTCAGATGATACATACATAGGCATGTGATGTATACATTTATGAATATATGCGTTTCACGGATTTTCAGATGTGAAAGAGGAAAGTAGAGGGGGTGGTGGTGGGAATTATTGGGATTCTACCTTCCTTTTGTTTCTTTCTCAACCCAAGCCTTTTCTCTTTCTTTTCGTGTTTTAATTTAAAAGACGTGCTAAATACTAAAATTTGAGTAGTGAAAAATAAATTTTTGATATATTTTTTTTTTTATAATTATAGGATGAGATGTATAAAATTTTATTTTATAATTTCTATAACTAAGGACTATTAGTGGATGGAACCAATCTACTATGCTGAGAATTATTTTTTTGAACAATATTAACAAAAGATTAATTTTTGGTACAATAATACTTTATTGTTATAGGGTATGGTATGTCGAAGGCATAAATAAAGAGTAAAAATTCTTTATATTGTTATGTCACATATTCCTTGATATGTGATTTAATTATTAATGAAAATACAGTTTTTTTGACTTTATATTATTTTAGATTTTCCATCATATATCTTAAAAGTTGTGGGTCGTATTTGAATTAATGATAGATAATCTACTCTCAAATGAAGTTGAAAGAAAATGTATGTCTTAAAAGGTGGTAGTTATTTAGGTTATATTAGATGCGAAAGTTATTATAACAAATATATTTACTCCAAGATAAGGAAGATAAGGTGGTGAGTATGTATGGAATCCCATAATTTTTGGGTATTATATATTTTTTTAAAATTTATTTATTTCATATCAAAAAACTATGAATATAAAAAATAAATCATAAATTTATTTTTTGAATAATTATCTCCATGAGGCTAATATATAATTAAGCCAGTTATCCATATTTGAAAAATAAAATCTTAGTTGACAGATATGTGAAAATATATAATCTCTCTATATAACATGTTTCATTAGTGGATCGCATTTTCTTTCATATGTAATCGGGGATATGAATGAAAATCTTTCATCGGGCATTAATTAATTTCGAGGTTAATGATTGATCTAACGATTACCGTTTCTATTGTTAAACCTTCGAGTCATAGATTTAAATGTCTTCGTGCCCTTTTTGTATTAGTGTCTGACTAAAGAAAAATCATTAACTCCCACAATCTACATCTCACTTTTTTTTTTTTAATTTTTTTTTGTTGACGACACAGGTTTTTCTCACTTTTTTTCTTTAATCTCTTAATTGGAAAAAAGTTGATTCAGATGTGATGGTTTTACTGTTTTTTGATTAATAACTATTGACCTTGTGGTAATCAACCATATTTATCACAGGTTGGAAATTTTACAGTTATATATTATGGTATTGTAGTCCACTTTAACAATACTAGTTTTGTATCATCTTAGTTATAAATTATGTTAATTTTGATCAATTTTAAGTATTTATATTTGGATTTACTGTATCTTAATAATAAATTCGATTGTTTTCACCGCCTAAAACGTTAATCTATTTGCACATAATGCACTCCAAACTAGATATTCCGGGCTTACGTATATAAGAGAATCAATTTATTCAAACGACGATAAAGTTGTCAATTTTTTTTTACTAATAAATCGACAATGTTAGTTTCGAATTTTTTACGTTGAACGGGTCTTCAGAAACACACTTTCATAAAAATAACGGTAGTTGGATAAATAAATTTGAAATTACGATATTTTGGTAAGAAATTACAAAAAAAAAGGAGAATAAAAATTGATTCTAAAGTTGTCAACAACTTACCTTTTCAAGTCCTCTTGTAATGACTTTTTTATGGGTGTTTTTGAGTTGTGACATTTAGAAATTTATTCGGAGAATTACACATCTTTAATATTCAAGTTGTTATATTAATGACTTTCCAGCATTAATTGTCTATCTATTCAGGTTGTTATATTATTATTTAATATCCATTTTTTCCTATTAAAACATGAAAATGATAGGATAATTACACATCTTTCATAATTGGGTGATAAAAGAGAATAGCAATACAAGAGGTTTGATATTTTTTCACGACCTAAACATCTGGAAAAAGCGAAATAACACGTGGATATAATATTTATGATACGCTTTATATGGTAATTTTTATCGAGTCAAACATATTCTGAACAAGCGGGGAAAAAAAAAAGGTGAATGTCTCTAAGTTCCTCTGGTAATCCATAGATTTTTGCTCATCTTTCTTTAGAAATTACAAAAATCATTTAACTAAGTGATATCTTTCAAATATTCATTAATAATAAAAATATATTGCTTCGAGAAATATGATAACACTCACGAGGGACTTATCCCTCATGAATATTCTAATTTTGATGTGGATAGTCTGTCTTTGACCAAACTGAGAAGGAATTAGTTGAGGTGCGCGTAAACTGACTCAAACACTTCTGACTGTTGAACTAAAAAAAAAAAAAAATTCTCATGAATTTCATTCATACTNAGTTGATTCAGATGTGATGGTTTTACTGTTTTTTGATTAATAACTATTGACCTTGCGGTAATCAATTATTATTATTACTATTATTATTTATGTTCGGTCCATATTTATCACAGGTTGGAAATTTTACAGTTATATATTATGGTATTGTAGTCCACTTTAACAATACTAGTTTTGTATCATCTTAGTTATAAATTATGTTAATTTTGATCAATTTTAAGTATTTATATTTGGATTTACTGTATCTTAATAATAAATTCGATTGTTTTCACCGCCTAAAACGTTAATCTATTTGCACATAATGCACTCCAAACTAGATATTCCGGACTTAAGTATATAAGAGAATCAATTTATTCAAACGACGATAAAGTTGTCAATTTTTTTTTACTAATAAATCGACAATGTTAGTTTCGAACTTTTTACGTTGAACGCNTGGAGTGTTGTTCGGATTAATTTATATGCAATTCCACTAATCTCACGATTATTCAAACTGGAATTATGATAAATCTCTTGAATTTGAACTCAAAACGTCTCTATTTATACCAAGTTTCTTGAACTACCACGAGGGTAAGGAAAAATTGTTTGCCAAATTAAAAATGGAATTTTTTTGGAAAAATTTATTAAATTTGGTGTGGAATTTGAAGAGCTTTAGCGCAATTTTACTCCGAAATCGAAGATAAAATGTTCGGCTGCTGAGAAAACAGAGGAAAAGAAGAATAAGTGATAGAAAAAGCAAACCTTGAGGGCTTTGGACAGAGCAAAATGGTCAGAACTTGAAGGTTCTTCACTAGACTAAGACCTGCAAAAAAAAAAAACAATTGAAAGAAAAAAGTTCAGGAATCGGAATACATTTGGAAACAGAAAATGGTATAGTCAGTGGGTTCTGTTTGGTTACTCGGAAAACGAGAGAAAAATCACAACTTTTGAATGCAAACATCTTTAAGAAGAAAACATTCCACTCAACTGAGATTCTGATATAACAAATTTTGGCTCATTTGAGTGGGTTTTTTTCCTTCTCTGATAACAAAACAAGAGAGAGAAAGGCTCAAATTTTGTTTTCTTTCTCAGCTTCCAAACAGGGGACCAAAAAATTATACTCCAAAAAGCTAAAATGAAAACCAAAATGTCCCTAAATTGAGTAAATTCAATGAAAAAACGAAGAGAAAATGGTTTCATAAACCATACAATTCTACATTTTGAGCGGAATTAGAAATGAAATTCCAGAAAATGCAGAGCCAAACCTGTAGGAAAAACCCAAATGCAATTCCCGCCAAGAAAAAAACACCCAGTAACCGTAGCAGAGAGAGAGAGAGAGAACTGAGAACTCAAAAAGGTTTTTTGGCGTACACTTCGAGACAGAGCAGAGACTGAGTGAAAAAAACTGCTCCTACTGTTAAACCCTATTCCTCCGTTACACCCTTTTTAACAGTACTACTCTGTTTCTATGGCACCAGATAGAGTACCACTGGAAATGAGAAACAGGGAGAGAGAGAGAGAGGAGGGGTTGGAGTTGAGTTTTGAAAGGAGAGAGAAGAGAGGAGAGGGGACTAAAAAGGGTGGGAAGAGAGGGAGAGAGAGAAAGAGGAAAAAAATACGAGTGATGTTAGGTGAGCCTCTCCCTTCATTGCTAGCTGTCTTTTACTCTCAAACCTTCATTGTCGTGATGTTTAAGTCTTCTTCAATACCACCCTCCTCTCTCTCTCTCTCTCTACCTACAGGGCCCCACACCACCAGGTCCACCACCTCTCTCCCACCGCTCCTCAGCCCTTTAACATTTATTGACATGTGTATACATAGAATGTATATTCAGATGATACATACATAGGCATGTGATGTATACATTTATGAATATATGCGTTTCACGGATTTTCAGATGTGAAAGAGGAAAGTAGAGGGGGTGGTGGTGGGAATTATTGGGATTCTACCTTCCTTTTGTTTCTTTCTCAACCCAAGCCTTTTCTCTTTCTTTTCGTGTTTTAATTTAAAAGACGTGCTAAATACTAAAATTTGAGTAGTGAAAAATAAATTTTTGATATATTTTTTTTTTTATAATTATAGGATGAGATGTATAAAATTTTATTTTATAATTTCTATAACTAAGGACTATTAGTGGATGGAACCAATCTACTATGCTGAGAATTATTTTTTTGAACAATATTAACAAAAGATTAATTTTTGGTACGATAATACTTTATTGTTATAGGGTATGGTATGTCGAAGGCATAAATAAAGAGTAAAAATTCTTTATATTGTTATGTCACATATTCCTTGATATGTGATTTAATTATTAATGAAAATACATTTTTTTTGACTTTATATTATTTTAGATTTTCCATCATATATCTTAAAAGTTGTGGGTCGTATTTGAATTAATGATAAATAATCTACTCTCAAATGAAGTTGAAAGAAAATGTATGTCTTAAAAGGTGGTAGTTATTTAGGTTATATTAGATGTGAAAGTTATTATAACAAATATATTTACTCCAAGATAAGGTTGTGAGTATGTATGGAATCCCATAATTTTTGGGTATTATATATTTTTTTAAAATTTATTT